ACCATATATTCGAACTTTGTCACCTCTCATGAGCACTTGAATTATGATGAATTATAGAAAAGTTAAAGTGTGGGGTGGTGGGTTGGCTTTTGAGTGGAGAAATTGAAATAAGGAGAAAGGTGCACCGTTAGAAAGAAAAAAAAATGTGTCAATAAAAGCCATTTGGATAGCAAAAAAAAAAAGAACGAAAAAAAAATAATAGTTGTATTGTATGAAAAAGAATTCCTGATGGTGGTGGCTAGTGATATACTGGTGCTTAAAGAAGTAAGGGGTAAAATATAGTGAAGTTAAGGTGGAGTTTTGGTTTGAAATAAGTATGGGCTTGAATGTTAATTTGTATGTATTAAAGTGCTTAAGGGAGTTATAGTCACTCATATCCAAGTGTATCCTATCCGACCTGCAGCCTACATTACAACCAATGAAAGTCCTACTTGATCTTAGACTGAATAAACTCGATTAGTCGAGTATTATACTACGCGCAAGCCTATGGTGCATCATTTGTGGCATATGAAGGTTATTTCTGAGAGCAAGTGAATTTTGTCTATCTTGAGTTCCTATGTTCCTAAAACTCATTATGTGTGGAACTAAGCTCTTTGATTGGGTGAGGGTACATGATTCATAAAGGAAAGGTAATGTGTTGACTTCCATGTTAGAGTAAGTAAGTGAATTGTGAATAAGGCATGGTATTTGTGAGTCGAATCTTGAGTCGAGGATGTCACACCTTTGTGCTTAAATTATATTAAAGATTCTTGGTATAATGAGTTAAGGGAATTGCTTAATAGGTTGTGTCTATAAGTGTATTTTGATTGCTCAAGGGCGAGCAATGTCTAAGTGTGGGGTATTGATGTGTGGCTATAATTCATGGTTTAGCACATTATTCGCCTTGCATTTTATACACATTAATGATAAATTACACGATATTAGTGCGTAATAGGGTCCATTCTGTGTGTAGGTGAATTGGAGATGAAAGTAGAGAAAAAAAGATACTTACAAGTCGAAAGCGTGCGTAGGAGCAGTGAATGAGAGAACCTGGCAACGCCAGGCTTGAAGCTGGCGATACCCCTGGCGAAGCCAGCTTGAACTTGGTGAGAGACTTGCGAGGCAAGGCAGAGGCCAAGCTTAACCAGGCATTATGCCTGGCGATGCCAGGCCTGGGGCAAGATCCAGTCCGAGTTTTGAAACTTAGTTCGTCTCCCGGTTTGACTAGGATTTGACCTACACGTTTAGGTCTTGTCCTAAACATATAAATAGACTTAAAATGCCACTTTGAAGGACTTTTGCAACCGGAGGCAAGGATAGCTCGTGGAACAGCCATTGGGAGTTAGAATCATCGATTTCTACATTCCTTTATCCTTACTTTGTAATTAAATTATGCAAAATACTTTGGATATTGTTACTATGAGTATGAGTGGCTAAACTCCTAATCTAGGGTTTTGATGAACCTATTGGAGGATGATTTTCTTGTTACGTTAATATAGATTTGTCGTAGTATTTTCTCGATTTGTTCAACTATATTATTATTGTTGTTGATTGAAGGGCCCTCAATGAACTGTGCCTATTTAGTATGTATTACTCAGGAGAGAGTGCATATTTAGGTAGTTGTTGAACAACATCACTCCTAACGTATATGAGGGATCAATACGAAGGGTTTAAAGGTGGGATTAGGGATAACGAAACCTTGGTGCGATCTGAGTGAGCTGTACTTAAGGCCAGCTACCGTAATTCGGGAGAATATGTCTAGTATATTGTGGTGATTACTTGAGAAAAAGTTACGACAGTCAGAGTGCTCATGATCGGTGGAGAAGACTTAGGCAAATTTATAGAAAACATAGCGGAAAGGATTCCGACATTAGGGGAAATCATAACCTTAGATCATTCCGATTCTTGTCTATAACCCGTTCGTAGTTAGTTATTATTTATTGCATTTTCATTACATAATATTTAGTTAGTAAACATCCAATTCGTTACTTACACATTTTTGAAGATTGATTGCGTGAATTTGTGTGAGTCTAGTAGATGTGCTTAATAGGTTAATTCCCTATGGGATTCGACTACGGACTTGTAAATCGGAATATATTTGCAGCGACCGCTAAGTCCTTTTTATAAGACATAGTTGGCGTGATCAGTGGGTCTGGGTTGACTTTTTATTGACTTTTTTAAATATACTAAAGATTGATCCTTTTTCATTTGCGGGTAGTTTCTAAAGCTTATTTTGAATTATTTGAACAATATTTGGCTAGATTATATTAGTTTGGAGGCTTGATTTAGAGAAAAGTCGTGTTGGATTGTTGATTGTGTTCCGGAAAGAGGCAAGTGTCTTGGTTAATCTTGATTTGAGGGAAATAAGTTAGAATTGGATCCATTTTCTATGTAAACTATGTGTTGGGGTGGTGTATATGAAAGGTGACGAGTGTATATTCGTTGGCCATGGGCTAAGCATGCGGATAGAATTAGCCTTACTTGTACCATGTTATTTTGTGTATTACGTCTTTCATGCTTTAGATAGATTGTTTAATTCTTTGATTACTCGCTTTCATATTACTTCTTATATTGAGATTATTGTGATATTTGGTGTTGAGATCGTCGAATTTGTTGATTGGTTGTTGGCATTAATTGTTGAAAGATTCTCATAAGACGAGTTGTGTTCAAATACTATTGTTGAGGTTTAATTTGATTCCCACCTTGCTTGGTATTGTGTTGTTGTAATTTCTTGGTGAAGAAGAGTGAAAAGCACGTAGGGTATTTTCGTGACTTATTTACATATTGATGTTATTGCTTGAGTGAACGTGAGGACAAAGCACGAAGGTTGTTGTCGTGCAATTGCTTTTATATTATTATGTGAGGATGAGAGTAACGTGCACTTGCTTTATTATTATCATGTGAGGATGAGAGTAAAAGCATGAAGGGTGATGCCGTGCAAATTTGTTGATTTCATTACGATTTACCTTGATACTTGGAATGGGAACTTGACTTGGTTGTTTCGTTATTTACTTTGGAAAGAGGTTTACTCGGTGATTCTTTACTTATTATTTTTGTTTGTTTTCCATTTTACATGTTCCTATCTCGTTGTTAATTTGATTCTTTATCTGTTATTTTGTTACTTCTTGATATATAATTGCACGGGTTTATAGTAAGTGTCTTGTGTTAGACTCGTCACTACCTCGTCGAGGTTAGGCTCGACAGTTACTGAGTACATTTGGTCGGTTGTACTCATACTAAATTTCTGCACTTCTTGTGCAGATTCGGATATTGGTACCAGCGAAGTCCCGAGAGGTACTTAGCGGATACCAGATGGTGATTTAAGGTAGAGTTGCATTCCATTCGCAGGTCTTAGAGTCGTTTTTCTATTTTTATTGTACTATTTCCATGGACAGTGTTTTACTTCTTTCAAAATATTGTATTTAGTATTATCTAGAAGCTCATGTACTTGTGATTCCGCATCTTGGGATGGTTTACGTTAGATGTTGGATTCAGTCTTATTATGTTTATCTCAAATTTGCCTTTACGTTATGTTATTATTCTATTGTCAATCTTTTATAGTGGTTCTTTCTATTTGTCTGTTGTGTGTTGGCTTACCTAGCAAACATTGCTTGGCACCATCACGACCCCGATTTGGTTGGGATTTTGGGTCGTGACAGCATATAGGGGGTCAAAATTTTATCCAAAAATAAGGTTTTCTCTTAGGATAAAAAGGATTTATAGCTTGTTTCCATGAGATCCCAAATGAGTCTTTCATCAGAAGCTCCTGAATGGGTCTTGCGTCAGAATATTTTTGATTGGATATATGACTTATACATTGAGTATTTCTTCTAAGCAACTTAAATGTTTGAATCAAATAAAATTGTTCAGTTTTACCATTGTTGCAAATCTATTACTGTATTATACAAAATAGAATTACTCAAGAGTCTTAATTGATTTCCTGTACTACTTAGCAGGTTCTAAAACAATTCTTGCATATAATAAACTTTGATTCTACTGAAGTCCATAAATATGAATTGATATGGAATGGAACACAGAATAACGAGTTACCATATAGCCATAACTCCTTTTTCTTTTTCTTTTTCTTTTTTGGTTTCAAAGTATTGATTAACTTGGATGTTTGAAGATGAGATTAATCCATTTTGCTTATCATACTTTGATTATGAGCTAAATATCAAAATAAAACTGAGTAGTTACTGTGCACTACTCCATGTTCAACAATTGCTTTTTAACTAATCAAATTCTTGCAAAGAAATCTAATTAAAATAACAATCAGTAACAACACAAATTGAAAAATTACAAAAGTAAAAAAAAAAAAGAAGCTGGATATAACATTAGATGGATAAAAATGAAAGAATTATTTAATTTAGGGCTAGACAGGGCAGGGCAGGGATCACATGATCTAAATGGGGCAAAGAACTAAACGAGGCAAGGCAAGGCAAGGCAAAATTTTGGTAGGGGAAGACTTAACCCGCCCGGCCTGCCTTCCCTCGTTGCCATCCCTACTTCTCCCCTGTAAGCTCTAAGAAAAATTTTAAACCTAGAAAATTCACCATGATCAAATCTAGCCAAACCACCCTTAAACCCAAGTCTAGTACCAGGTCATCTACCAAAACCAAATCTGATCATACCAAGAAACAAGAAGAAACTCAAACGGAAGTCACCGAACCAACTCCCTCCACACCTTTCTCCATCTAATTCGTATGACAGTGTATGTATGTATAAACACCATACTATTATACATTTTATACAAGGTTAATACATTGTTTACAATAAATATATAATATTGTATAATAATGTATAAAGATGTATATACATTGTTGCAAAACAAATGTTGGCTATGAAGGTGAAAAGTGAAAAACTTAGTTACGTAAGTGCAATAGAGTGTGTTGGGCTGTATATATGTGCAAATCTCCCTTAATTTTATTTAAAAAGATTCCAAAAATTATGTCTATATGGAGGCAGAATTAAATGGTTTAACTTTTTACTTTAAAACCTGTTGTTCTTTTGGGACGTAGTACTTGAAGTTAACAGATAATAAAATAATGCTATAAGATTAAAATAGTGATACACATTCAAAATTATATGGGTTGTATGTATAGATATATATATTTTTTATGTCGCCCTGCCCCAAAAGTAATGGCAGGAAGAATGACAATAACCCATGAGCATCTTCTTTACCTAAAAGGCTAAAACTAATCATGCCCTGCGCTTGACAAGTTTTAGCAGGAAGGATTGGCAAATAGGTAAGAGCATCTAACATATCTGCTGCCTGTGTAATTGCCGCGAGCTCCATGAGCTATTTCGCTGTGACGGAAAAATGATCGTTGGCAACCTCTTGCTTTCCTCAACATGAGGAAAATCAATGGTGTAATGAAGCCCACGACTCTCGTGTCGAGAAAGAGCACTACTAACTACCAGGTTGGCGCAACAGAAGAGATTTCTCATCTCACAAGCCTCTAGTCCAACCATTGTTGGTTCCCAGCCATGCTGAAATAGGTATGTTTCCCATTCCAACTCCAACTCTCTGATTCTCTTCTCAGCTGCGGTTAGTCTTGAGGTAGACCTAACAATTCCAACATATTCCCACATGATTGACTGTAGTTCTTTCCTCACTTCCCTTGTCCGACGAATGACTTTGTTAAGTACTGTATCTCCTAGTACCACTGGGGCTACAGGTCGAGGCCACCAACTTGAAGCACCGTGATCAATTCTAGACACGTTCACGTGATAAATTGAAGGTCGTACAGCTCTTCGTGCAAACACTAGTGCTTCAAGCAACGAGTTGCTAGCAAGTCGGTTCGCACCATGTAAACCAGTACATGCAACTTCACCTGCCACATAAAGGCCTTGCACATTAGTCTCACCCTCAAGTCCAGCACGAACTCCACCACACATGTAGTGAGCAGCAGGAACCACCGGAATCGGTTGCTGTGTTATGTCTAACCCATGGCGGAGACACTCAGCAGCTATATTAGGAAAATGAGACAGAACCTTCTCTCTGGGCTTGTGACTGATATCAAGAAGAACATAATTTTCGCCACGCTTTTTCAGCTGGTCATCTATACTTCTTGCTACCACATCTCTCGGGGCAAGCTCTGCTCTTTTGTCATACATTGGCATAAATCTCTCCATATCTAAGTTGTAAAGGATGCCTCCATCACCTCTGACAGCCTCAGTTATCAAAAAAGCATTCTCTCTGGCACTTGGTCTGTTGGGAAGGCCTTCATCAGCCAAGGCAGTTGGATGGAATTGCACAAACCTGGCAACACGAAGAAGAGAATTGTAATTAATAATGCAACCTTTGGGGATAGTTCATCAACCTCGCAAACAAAGACTTGTCTACCATCCAAAAGACGATCAAAGGAGGACCATCAATTAGAGAGCGGACTGCTAGTCTAGAAATCTTTTCTACATCAATTAAATCCCCCAATGAAGAAAATTTGATGCCCTTTATCCTGAAAAATTCAAGTCAGATCCAATGTCACCCCGCACAACATTTTGAACATACCTTGTAGTTTTAGTCAAAAGTGCAAATTCAGAATGAATTGCAGAACAGGATGCAGAAATCAAGAAAGCAAAAAATGGATGAAATCTAGATTGGCAGATTTTACAGCACAACTCACTAAAGTAGACACAGTGATATTGGACAATAAGAATGCAATGCAACTGAGGATCACTTACTCCATGTTGGAAATTACAGCTTGAGCTCGATGAGCCATAGCCATTCCATCTCCAGTTGCAACCTACAACCATCATGCCCACATTGAACAAATTAAAACTTTTCTGTTCATTAATAAAGGCACAAATGGTCAAATATAAAAACAGAATTGGGCCCCACCATCAATTAGTAGCTCCAAAAACTTATAGAAATGACCGTAAAAGAAAAACAATTGATAACGAGCATAACAGCGCCACAGTAGATGCCTAACCCAGGTTATACAACTTTGAACAATGTGTCTTGCTTTTATCGTACAGAAAAATAGTGGTGTATAGAATAAGAATTTATTACCTTCCATCTCTTATGAGATAAGAATCCACACTTCCATGGAAAGGATCATCTGTTAATACCCAGAATCTTTATTGTTTCTTTTTTTTTTTTTTTGTGGGGGGGAGGTCCATATTTGTCCTTGTACTTTGCGAAAAGGTCTAGATTTACCCTTGGTTTAAAGTTTGGCTCACTGGTGTCCTCGCCGTTAAACTCTTGGACTATATCTACCCTTATTGCTAACAGCTGATGATTAAAAATCATTTGATCTCTTTTTTAATTAATCTCTAAAACTCAGTTTAGCACCAAAATGTGCCACATGTGACATGTCCCACACGTGGCTAATAAATAAACCTCCCCCCACCTTTAACCCTCTCCCATTAACCCCTGCACCCCGTCGCTGCCCTTGGTCCATTTTCCCCCATTTCCCGAAAAGATCTACATCTATTCCCCTTCTCCATTGTAACACAGTAATGCTTCTATTCCCCAACATGTTGTTGCCCAAAACCCACTTCATCTAGTCAACTTTCACCATCCTAGTTGCCCAAAACCCACTTCATCTAGTCAACTTTCACTATCCAATCCTCAAACAATTGCTGCCCAAAGTCTCACCCCAAACCATTCTCCACCATCGCCCAAAGTACTCCCTCTATAACTAAACAACCACTTCCACCTTTATCTAATCCTCTAGGCAGCAGCCACCCCACCCATAATTAACCATCCCTGAAAATTTCATAGAAGTTTGAGCACCACAGAACCTTCAAAAATTAAAAAAAAACATTGCCAGAAAAACTGCCCTGTCTGACGCCATCCACCATTAAAAATGAAAGACGATGATTTTGCTATGGTAGAGGGGTGGCGGCTTGTTGATGGGGTTGTAAAGTTGTAATGGTGGTGACTGGTGAAGGTTCTATTTTGGTGAGACCATGGAATTGACAGGGTGAAGGTGCTAGCCGAGAAAGTGTTGAAGTAGTGAAGCAGTGAGCGAGTCTCTGTGGGGAGCTATTGGTAGGTTGGTGAGGTTGTTTGGCGGTTTCAGATGCAGAGGTGTTATGAAGATGGACGCCATAGTTGTTTTTTCCGTTGGCCACCTCATTGATGGTAAAAGGATGGGGGATAGAGATGGGTGGTTAATTTTAATGAGAGGGGGGTTAATTTTCCAGGTCAAATTGGGTCGGGTTAAAGGGGAGGGATTAATTTCAGGCCACGTGTGAGACACGTGGCGGTCTCTGATGTTAATCAGTATAATTAGAGACAACTAAGTCTCAAACAACTTTGTGATTATGCTTTCCTTGAGCCGAGGGTCTATCGGAAACAGCACCTTCACAAGGTAGGGGTAAGGTTTGCGTACACACTACTCTCCTCAGACTCCACTTGTGGGATTTGTGGGATTACACTGGGTATATTGTTGTTGTTGTTGTTAAGTCTCAAACAGAGGTCCGTTAGCAAATAGGGGTAAATATAGTCCAAAAGTTTAACGGCGAGGGCACCAGCGAGCCAAACTTCAAAGGGAGGTTAAATCTTAGACCTTTTCACGAAGTACAAGGGTATATTTGGGTTTTTCCTCTTTTTGTGGCTTAGGGCAGCCAGCTCTTATTTCTAATTGCACATTAGCTTAACATGCAAGTGCTATAGGGTTTAAATAATTAAAATCAGGCCATGTTTCATACTCTAGGGAATGTCGTTTGCACCAATGTCAATTGTTAAGGTCCTTATGAGTTACGAAAGATACTTTGTGACGAAGCTTATCGCCAACAATAAAATGCAAATGTATGCCAGTCATGAAATTAACTATTACCCACCATTCCCTTCCCACCTTCTCCCCCCATATCACTGTTTAGGACTCTGATTATCTTACTGATTATAAGGAGTGACATCCCTCATAAATAACAATATTATGGAGGAAAAGATATTGAAACCCATACCAGTGGATTAGTAGTACTTGGATAGATATGCCCAGCTCCACCTGATGCCAGTAAAGTCACTTTTGAAATGAATCTTATAACCTACAAACTCAAAGTAAGAGCGCAGAAGCCTAAGAAATCAACTTATGACATTGTGAGGAAATGTTCAATACATGGAGGTCAACATGAGTGAAAGCAACTGTACTTACCTCCTGTGTTTCCGTATTTATAGTATCAACGCCATGACATATTATGTCAGAACCATCCTGCATTTGGCATACAAATTAACATTAGCAAATGTTTACATGAAAAATCCTTACTGAACAGTTCAACTGCACAAACATAAGCAAAAGAATAATGCCGAGACTAATTAGATTAGAGCAACAACCCTTCATTTTGGACCAAATTGATGCTAGAGCAGAAGTATTTTCTCAATAATAAAAAAGAAGAGCAAAGAAAGAATTACCTGAGTGGTCAAAAAATCTATAGCAAAATGGTGTTGAAACACATGTATATTAGAATGCTTAAAAACTGCCTCTAATAGGGCCCTTTCTATCTCTCTGCCAGTCATATCAGCAGCATGGACAATTCGACGATGGGAGTGGCCCCCTTCCCTGGCTAGATGCAGATTCCCGTCCTTCCCATGATCGAATGAAGCACCCATAGCAATCAGTTCTCTAATTCTCTCAGGTCCTTCGGTACACACAACCTGGAGAAAGGAGTATACTTATAAAAACGAAGATTTTAAAAGAGTAGACTAAACACAATTTTGGAGTAATAAATCAGCCATCTCGTAAATTTCATTTAGACATAGATTGCATAAAAAGCACAATTACATGGACCAAGATTTTCTCAACTGATAAGAAGATATTAGTTGTGATGTCCCATCTACCAAGCACAACACAAAACTTCCTTGAAACCAGTATATATTTACAGAGACAAATGAAAATAGTATACAGCAAACTAAGCGGTTGATAAGGATAGACACTCCAAGGCTATCCAGGATCCCTAGCTTAAGTTGTATGGTATAAGATTCTCTCTTATCCCCACAAGAGTTATATACAGAGAACTCTATCCCTTCTCCCTCTTGTATATTGATAATGGGACTACTAGATGCAAAGTCCATTGGGCCTTACTACTCTCGGCAGAATTGGGCACTTCACAATTCTGCAAGAGTTGTTAGCATTAACAAAAGTAAATGTACTCCGGGGCTAAAGCTCGAGAAAGAAGGGATAGAGTTTTCTGTACATAGGACTCTTGAGGGGATAGGAGAGAAACTTATATGATACAACTTAAGCTAGGAATCCTGGATAGCCTTGGAGTGTCTATCCTTATCAGCAGTTACCCTCAGAAATTTGGTGCTGATTTAGGGAAGTCAGAAGTGTGTTCTCATTAAGAAAAGAAAACATGGTACTGTGGCACAAACTAAATGAAATCCCAAAATAAAACCAAAAGACAACACATGTGAATTTCCTGTCTTATTCGTATCTCTTCCTTCCTGCATGTCACCTTCACTCTCTTTTCATAATGTTCAAAGACAAAAGTCAACAATCTGAACCATGAAGAATAGGAGCATTACATAAACCAGAGGAAGTCGTCCATATTACCAACCATTGGTTTCTCAACTATCCAACTCTTTCTTCGTTTCCAACTTGTAAGCACTTACATCAGAAGGAAGGAATAGGCATAGAGCCTTTCTTGTAGTATTATTGCTTGATGCTTCAGCTTCTAATTGAAAACAAGCCTAACTGCCCGATTGCTCTTACCCTTTTCCATTTTTTGGCAGTTCTAGATCCTGTGGCAAAAGCCGTCTAAACAGAAAGTTCCTTTGGTTTCAACCTGAAAGATGGAGAACTTTCCTATTCATCCAACCAAGCAGTCCCGGAAAAATTTGGAAAAGCAAAGGAAATAGCTTCCAAAGAGAAAAAACTGAAAAAGGGCAAACTGCTTCACGGAACTGAATAGACACTAATATTCTGTGAACTTACTCTAACAGTCTCCTCATCACAGAGGTAAGCACCTGCCACAATTGTATCTTGCATGTGGCTCTCCACTGAATCCATAGGGCAGAGCACAGCACTTACACCACCTTGAGCATAGTTAGTGTTACTCTCATGAGGCTCAGCCTTGGTTATCACAGCTACAGTTCCATGCTTTGCAACTTCTAGAGCATATCGAAGGCCAGCAATTCCACTACCAATCACAGCAAAATCAAAATACCTAGTTGAGCCATCTCTCTGGCAAGAATTGATTGTTCCGCTGTGAGACTTCCAGTTTGTTTTCACTTGACATTGAGAATAGTTACTTCTATGAACTCGCAAGAATTTGGAAACCCAATAAGACCTGGAAAATTTAAGTAGCATATCACCACCAGAAAATGAAAATGATAACCTTTCTTTTTTTCCTAAAGAATCAGGAAATGACTCAAAAAAACTTTTAGGATTCTGGTATCTCATGAAAAAAGATATTACTGGTTTATGCCTAAACACGTATACAAAGATTCTTTCCAGTAAGTTCTCATGGGAGGAATAAACAGTCCAACAGCCAACACGTGAATGCCTATGTCCGTACAAATTGGAATGTAATAACATCTTGAAAGCTCCAAAATAAAACATTTTGACAATTATTCCCCCAGAAGAGAGGAGAAGGGGCAATAGAATGAAGATAATACAGCAGGGAAAGATAGAGAGGAAAGATAGGCGAAGAACGTCGTCCTAATACGTACCAAGGGATCTGGTTTTGCATGCCGTTCAGGATCACATTGGAATGACAGTGAGCTTTTCCATAGCTACTCCTCCAGTAGACAGGCTTCCTCAAATGTAACTGTCCGCTTCCTGAAGCGATACCAGTTGCCATATGATCTTCCTGACTGAAAATCCAGGTCAAAGGAATTGATATCAGATTAGCACTCTCAATTCCGAGGTTAGAATGTTAGTGAAACTAAACATTTAAAGATCATCTTGATTACCTCAAAAAACACCCAAACAGGGCAAGGAATTGAGCTTAATAACAAAATATTGGCTCTTGACATTTAGATAACTTGAATCAAACACTTTAGAAGGGAATGACCCTTCTAACCAAACTCTTGTAACATCTCCCAGAAAACTATTCTTCGGTAATACGTTTTGCGCAGCTGGGACTCGAAAGCAAAATTAAAGACTCTGGATATTTAAGGGAAACCTTGTTATAAATTGCATTAAAGCATGAATGAATACAGTAGAAGCTACAAAAAGAAAAGATTTTGTTTCAGGACGATCTTAGGAACAACTTCCTATAAGCTAATTTGAAAGCCCAACCAAAACTGTGCTTGGTCTTGAAGTCAGAACTCTTTACAACTCTTCTATCATTCATTTGGAGCAGTAGATTTATTAAAGAAAAAGTAACTTTTAGAAAATATCTGAAATTGAAGGGGCAGAAAAGCATGTGGAGACATTTAAACAAAAGGAGAAGTGCTTGGAAGGACCATGAGAAAACATATCATCTAACGTATGGTCAATTCAATGAAAATATTTAGAGATTCAACAGTTGATGGGCTTAAACCAGAATTCCACAAATTGGACTCCTACGACAAGATGGCTAGTCCATGTTAATGCTGCAGCAGAACATGCGTGGAACAAACTGCTCATTACACAACTTCGATACCAGATACTGAAAACCAAAAGGAAACGAAACATAAAAAGAAGAAACATATACTTTTTTCTCATTCAAGTGAACCACAAATGAATGTGCATCATGTCTCTAACCCTGTGATATCTCATATTGCAAGAGAAAAAGTAGATAAAAGAAAGGTATGAACTTATCAACTAATTTTCTATAATCCACTTGTACAGAATGAATTTACAAATGGAAGTTTCCACAAGACTTCATCACTTATTGCTGAAACAGAAAGAGAAATCATTGCTTTCCCTTCCTGATGTTACATGACATAAGTATTGAGTCAAGGCCATTTTCAATGAATGCCAATGTATCTACAAAATGCATTTCCTTTAAAATCATGAGACTGAAACACGTTAAGGAGAAGTCCTTTTCAGTTTTTCTAACTATGTCCTTACTGTTGCTTCGACGAAGACCCTCAATAAACACCTGAACAGCTAGTACTATAATTCTGAAGGCTCCAAAAACAGAAACACATACAGGGCCAAAAGTCAGCTTTCCGGACACGTTTCTATTAGGAGAAAGGAAATTGTAAGTAACAAGTGACGACTAAAAAGAGTTGTTTTAGCGAAAAGCAGAACCTACAAGGCTGAACAAGTATGCAAGGAAACAATAAGACCCAAAGAAGATCATTTGCTCTAAGACTCAGGACTTGCCAACATAGCTAAATTTTTATTTTCCCTCATTAAATCGTTCTTTGGCAATGGTGTTCAAGGAAATGAACAGCTCTTACACGCTAAAGCTATTTAAATAGAAATTACATAAGTTGTAAAGGAGAAGTGCAATGATATATACATGGACTCGTGTTTTGTAGAACATGTATGACAGGTAAATAGATCTCTGAAAATACATAAACAACTTGCAAAATTTATCACAATCCCTCCTACTTATGGGTGTATTTGGTATGAAAGAAAACATTTTCTTGATAATCTTTTCCAATTTTACTATGTTTGGTTGGCCTAAATTGTTGGGGAAACATTTTCGTAAAGAAAACATTTTCCTTTAATTGATGAAACTAACTTTCCTAAGAACCCAAGGGAAGTCAATTTCCAATATCCGGAACATATCAAACTTTTTGGCGCTAGACAATCGGCTCTTGCCTCCCTCCCACTTCCCTCTGCCATTTTCTCTTTTTCTCTATACTCTCTCCAAAGTGACCAAAATGCTATTGCATGTTGACACAACAGTACCTATATGTTCTTACCTGTCAGGCATTTCTTTTAATAGGAGTGTGGAATTTGAATCTAGCCAAAGCATTTGAAATTTCATGTACCATTCTCTCTTTTCCTTTTCCTTTCTTTATGTAAATCTGTGATACTTTTAAATTACTGCCATTATTCATTTTCTTGAATTATTTACGAAAGATTGACATTTTCATATATTAAGAAACTTTCTAATTTTAATACATTATTTTTCTTTTTCTTAATGACTTGTTCTTACAAGAATGACATGTCATGTTGAATACTTTATTCTGCAGTTAATCTTTCAAGAACTTTAAGGGGCTTAAATGAAATCAAAAAGAAAATTATTTTGTAACAACATTAGGAAACATTTTCTTTTCTCCTTACAAACAAAAAGTGGAAAGCATATTCCAGAAAATAATTTCCACTCACCAAACAAACATTTGTAAATATTCTCCAGAAAATATTTTGCCCTCACCAGCCAAATACTGGAAAATAAGTGAAAACATTTTCCGTTATACGGAACACACTCTATATCTCCTCTCAATTCCTGCAGTGATTTACATTCACGTCTATTTGTTAATCGTATGCCCCAGAAGGCACTTACATTCACATCTATTTGCTTATTGATTTCACCTTCGAAAGACTGGAAACTTTGTTACTCTCATTTTCGGCTAGGATTGTGTCAGCTTGTGTTGCTTTGCCAGGGAAAGAAAACAGCAGAAAAAGGGACAGAGAGCAGCATTGAGCTAGCATAGCATGTTCGCAACAACAGGATCTACCGGCTATCAGTTTATCATAAAATTGCATGTTCGTATATTTATAAAGCTTCTCAAGATTCTAGCATCCCGAACCTAACAGAACCCTAAACTAAAATACAACCCCATCCCCCACCCAAACAATACAACTATAGTTATTATTCCAAAAAAAAATAGATCAACAAAACAAACAAAGTTTTGAACAATACAGTTACCTTAACGGGGCAAAAATGGCGCTCCGAAGTAGAATTGAACTCGAATTCGAAGTTACAAATTAACTGATTGTTGGCCAAGGAAGCAGAATTCGAGCTAATTAGAGAACTGAAGAGAGAGAGAGAGGGGGAGGGGGGGGGGGGGGGGCCGGAATATATCCCTAAATATATAAAAATAATAGAGCTAACGAAAAGCTGCAGTCGTCACCTAGAAATCCACCCTGTATCTTTTGCCACCTTTTTAGATTATGGACATTTTTTTTTGGTAATCAATGGGCTAACTTAGTCGTATCACGTATGCAGTTTCCGTGGTGTAAGATCTGTGACGTTAAAGAAAAAGGAAGTAGCGGAGGACCCCAGTCGCTTTTCCTCCACAACCAATTTGGACAATTCAGTTTGAGCCTTAGCTTTTCGGAAGTGGAATCCAATTTGTTCTTTCACAAAAAGAATACACGAATCCAGTCTTTTTTTATATTTTCCTGGTCGAAATAAACAAGTCTTTCTTTTTGACTTTCCTCTCGGCATGGGGAAACCCGCTTTTTTAGGCAGTTTCCTCCTTTATTGTTATCTTACTTATATTACTACAATTTAATAATAGATCCGCATTAACGCACTGCATTCTGTAGTTGAGCGCGAACAAGGAAGAAAATTGTTTGGAAGAAATTCAAAAATAATCAAATTTATAAATGGTCATTCAAAAATAGTTAAAGACTTGATGTTTCAAAAGTAATTGAAATTTAGTTACTTTTCATATAAAAGTAAATTTGAACGAAAATGCTGTTCAAAATCCGGAAAATACTCCAACATAATATACTAGAATTCCAGTATATTATATTGGAACTCAAGTATAATATATCGGAGTTCCAGTATACTTATGTTGTACTGGAGTTCCAGTATAATATATTGGTCCAGCATAATATGCTGGAAGTTCATACCCAACTGCTCAAATCTCCCGTATATTATGCTGGAACTTTCCGCGTGTTGGAGTTCCAGCATAATATGCTGGAGGTAGGGCTGCTTATCGGGCGGATTGGGCGGTTATTTACTTTTAGCGGTTTGGCTTATCGGTTATCGGCTTTTAAATGTATTAATCCTCTAGCCACCCGATAAGATATCGGGGGATTGGTATCGATTTAGCTCTTATCGGGCGGTTATCTGGCGATTTATCGGCCTAATTCAATCTATATTGCACATGATGCTCTTTGAGTTCAGAGCATACTACATTCCAGTCTATAGAATACAATAGATGAGTCCATTACATCCCAAAGCAGACTACATTACAGATGAGTCCAGAATACATGTCTTTAGTACTTCAGTTGTAAAATGTGAAGAAGCAAGAGGCTCCAAATATTCATTAAAAGTCTTTATGTAGAACTTATTGTACTCCTCTTTACTTACTTCCTTAGGACTTCGACGCTGGAAAAGGAAATACAGTAACTCTAACTCATTATATCAGCAAGAACAAACTTTTGAAGCATAGCAACAGGAGATAATAATCTGGAGACTAACCCATATTAGTTGAGTCTCATTTGTAAGCTCCCAATCCCAATATTTCTCCACAATTTTTTTGGTCTTCTTCTTTTTCTGTTATAGAGAGTTGGAAATTTCATCAGAAATGGAAAAAGACAACAGCAGAATCAACAAAGCTACCCCCAGAATATGTACTACTCCTAGCTACCTTAGTTGTCGCATCTTCTCCTTCCTTCTTGGCTTCTGCCGGATCCTCATCAACTTCAACCTGTAAAGAGACAATATCACGGAACCACAAGGCGATAAGGAGTTATATCTAGCTTACATAACGTGGAACGTCAAAAATGTAAGACCCCAAGCATGTTTTGTGGTCGTAGATAGAAACAAGTGAATTTAGGCGTTAGGGTTTCTTAATGTCTAATAGTAAATTAGTAATAGAGAATAGAGATAGAGTACTAGAAGTGGAAGAAGGGTTTTTGATTATTTAATATATATATGGATAAAAATAAATTTTATATGTATATATATATTCTTAACGGGTTAACGGATTAACCGTTAAGAAAATTGAATAATCCGCCCCCAAACCGATAAGCCGTTAATAAAAAAATTTCAATCTGTTCCCCGTCCGTTAAACCGTTAACCCGATACCAATAAGCCATTAAGCTTCGGTTTCGATTCAGTTTTCGGTTTCGGTTCGGTTTTGAACACCCCTAGCTGGAGGTTCATATACAGGTGCACCGATCTCCAGTATATTATGCTGGAATTTTCCGTGTTGCAGCAAATAGTGGCTATTTTTCAATGACTTTACAAACGCTGGCTATTTTTGAACGACCAGTTCGAAAACTGAATAGCCTTTGCTATTTTTACAAATTGTTTACCTCCTCGAATCCAATATGATACCACTTTTTTGGGTCTAGGAATAGTTTATTTGGTGAACCTTCTTACATTTCACAAGTTATGTATTTCATAAGTTGAGGCGGAGGGTCTCGTCCCCTGATATTTCATAAGTTGTGTATGTCATTTCATTCGTCCTATTTATGTGACAATGTTTGATTAGACATAAAGTTTAAAAAAAATTAAAACTTGGTAGATACTTGTATGGGTGTAAATTATCTTATTAAGGTTAAAAGGAGAATTTTAAAATTAGATTATTTCTAAATATAAAAATATATTCTTTTGGTACATACCAACAAAAAAAAGATTGTCAGGTAAATTGAAAGGGAGTGAGAGAGAGAGAGTGAGAGAGAGAGAGAGAGAGAGAGAGAGAGATCCTGCCTAAAATTGATAACGGTTCCTAACTTATTCTAACCCACCAATTTGAGCATGTCAATTGTCAATGTTTTCCACAATGCAAACAGATTCCTCCCCCCCCCCCCCCACCAACTAACATACAAGACCTTCAAAATAATGGAGGAGAGTGACCACGTCCTCCTCTCCGGTTATGCTTTTGGTGAGCGCTGCCAATTTGGCGAGGCCGTCCGCTTCGATGTTCTGCGCTCAAGGTATTTGGTCGAGCTGGCATTCGTCAAACCTGGGTAATAGTTTGCAAATCTCGGCCTGATATTTCTGTAACCGTTGCTCCTTAATTTGGAAAGTCCCTGTGACCTGATTGACAACGAGTTGCGAGTCGCATCGAAGGATGACTCGCCGTGCTCCGTATTTGAGTGCTAATTTTAACCATGCAATCACGGCCTTATACTCGGCCTCGTTGTTAGTCATATCAGGGAATCATATGGATTGGCGAACCACTTCGCCTGTTGGGTCCTCGAGCACGAGTCCCAGTCCAGATCCTAATGCGTTAGAAGCGCCATCAGTGTACAAGACCCATTGGTCGTGTACTTTGGTAGAACTAATGGCGGTTTCCCTTTCGACTTCGGACATTATCTTCGCACTGAAGTCGGCGACGAAGTCGGCAAGAACTTGCGACTTTATCGCTGTTCGCGGTTGATAGGTTATATCGTGCTCGCTCAGCTCTATGGCCCACTTGGCCAATCTACCCGAAAATTCGGGTTTGTGTAAGATACTCCTTAAAGGGAAAGTCGTGACCACCAAGACAGGGTGGCACTGGAAATAAGGTCTAAGCTTCCGTAAAGCTACGACCAGGGCCAAAGCTAACTTCTCGAGGTGGGGGTACCTCATTTCAATGACGACCAAAGTTTTGCTGATGTAATAGGTCAGAGATTGTGTACCTTTATTTTCTCGTACCAGGACTGCACTTACTACGACATCAGACACGGCCAAGTAGACAAGGAGGCACTCTCCGGGTTCTGCCTTAGCGAACAACGGTGGCGAAGACAGGTAGGCCTTCAGTTCTTTTAAGGCGTTGACGCATTCGGCATTCCAATGGATTCCGTTATCCTTTTTGAGTACACCAAAAAAATTGTGGCACCTATCGGAGGACCGCGAGATGAATCTTGACAAGGCTGTTATTTGGCCGGTCAGCTTTTGCACTTGTTTTTTGCTGGTTAAATTTTCTGGGATTCCTTCTATGGACTTGCTTTGGTCGGGATTGACCTCGATGCCTCGTTGTGATACCAAGAAGCCGAGGAATTTTCCAGATGTCACGCCGAAAGCACATTTCTCGGGGTTTAATTTCATGACGTACCTTCTGAGTATGTCGAAGGCCTCCCTCAAGTGGTCGATATGGTCTTCCTTTCTTTTTGACTTGACCAACATGTCATCAATATATACTTACATGGTCTTGCCGAGTTGATCTTTGAACAATTTGGTCACCGGCCTCTGGTACGTTGCCCCCGCATTTTTTAACCCGAACGGCATCACTCTGTAGCAGTAAGTCCCCTGATGGGTGATGAAAGTGGTTTTTTCCTGGTCCTCCTCCTCCATGAGGATTTGGTTGTAGCCCGAGTAGGTGTCCAAGAAACTCAGCAGTTCATGCCCGGCTGTGGCGTCGATGAGTTGGTCGATGTGAGGTAGTGGGAATGAGTCTTTTGGACAGGCTTTGTTCAGGTCTGTGAAGTCCATGCACATTCTCCACTTACCGTTCTTCTTTTTCACCATGACTACATTGGCGACCCACTGAGGGTACTTCGATTCTCTGATACAACCATTCACTAGTAATTTCTCGACCTCTTCATGAACTGCGTCGTTTATTGTAGAGTTGAACTTTCGTCTGATTTGTCTTACTGGGGGTAAAATGGGTCGACGTTCAACTTGTGAGTTGCTATCTCCTTTGGGATACCTTGCATGTCTGCATGGGAAAAAGCGAACAGGTCCACGTTATTTTTTAAGAATTGATTAAATATACCTGGATCTTGGAGTTTATGGCCGATGAAAGCTTTATTGCAGTGATTGTCATCGTCTAGTTGGACAGGGTCGAGGTCCTCTACGGTTGACCCCGTGGCTTTTATGATTTCAGGGTCGCTGATGACGTCTTTCGTTTCCTCGCCATCCAACCCCGACTTTGTTAATTGCTATGTTTCCTTGGCTTTTCCTTTCAATTGTTGGGTGTATGTGCAATCTTGGGCGATGCAGTAGCATTCTCGGACCGTGCGTTGCTCTCCCCGGATGTAGAATACTCCCCAGAGGGTGGAAAATTTAATGACTTGGTACAAACAAGAGGGGACGACTTTCATAGCGTGTATCCATGATGTGGAACATGGTCCCCAAGGTGACGCCACCGGCCAAGACGGGCAGCGTGATTTCTCCAGATGTTCGCTCAACTGCATTGTTCCTGTTAGCGTGATGCATCGTGGCACTATCCTATCCTCGAGCTTTATTTGGGCGAGAACTCGAGGATGGATAATGCACGCGCTGCTTCCATCATCGACCATGATATGTCTTACATCAGTATCGAAAACGCGTAAAGTAATGACAAGGGCGTCACAGGAAAGACCAAACCGTGGGTATCTGACTTATCGAAGATGATATTTTCTTCGAGTTCGACGTACCGTTCGTGGGTGATTGACCGCTTGAGCTTGTGAGTGGTGGTGAACTTCACGCGGTTGATGGACGT